ATAATTTAAATAAATATTCATTGAATAACAAATAAAAAAAGATTAAAAAAGTATTTTAAATTTTTTATAATCAATTTTTTTCAAAAAAAATTTAATAAAAAATATTAATTATGAAATATTTTATTAAAATAAGCTATTAAATACTTTTAAGTAAACTTTTTCATTAGATTATCAAGCATATATATTTAAAATTTTATATAAATTAAATAAATATTTATTAAATATAACTAAAATTAAATTTCCAGTTTTTTTAACATACTGTATATATTTAATGAAAATATTAAGTATTTATTTTTTTTAATATAAATAATAATAAATTTTTTGTAAATATAATTATATATAAAGTAAAATAATAATAATAAAATCAAAAGATAATAAAAATTTTTAAAAATATTGCATATATAATAATATTTTAAATACTTTTAAAATATAATATAAAGAATTATTAAAATATATTTAAATTATTTAGTGCTTTTAAGCAAATAAAAAAAATATTATTACTTGTAAAATTATATGAGTATCTCTCAATTCAAATTTAATTAAATATTTATTTAAATATTATAGAATATTGAATATTTAACAAGCTTATTATTTTTAATATATAAAAAAATATTCTTTTCTCATTATTTATCATGCATAATTCTATAAATAAAATATGCATTATAAAAATATCTGTGATAAACTTTACAAAATAATATATCAAGAAATATCTTAAGCAATTTCAGGATAAAACTCTTTAGAAAGAAAACTTTTATTCCATATCATCACAGATAAAATGATCTTTATATTGAAATAAGAAAAGCAAGTCAAATAATTTCTATTGGATAATTAATGAATTGTTTCATATACTAAATTTTTTTGTATAAATTATAATTGTTATATTAATATAGAAATTTGCATTGCATTAACATCAAAGATAATCAAATATTTATATATTTATAAAGGTCATGATAAAGCAATAATTGACGTTGTTAAAGAGCATTAACAGCATAACCAATCAATTACAATTGATAAAATTAAAAACTTTATTGTATTTATCCAGTGAATCTTGTAATCCATTAGGTTTACAATGTACTGTTGCGTCCTAATCTAATAAAAATAACGCTTTTTTAAAATAATTTTATATTTATAAAGATTTTTTCGTGTTAATATAACAAATCGAAAATTAGTTTATTCAATAAATTTTGGGAATAAATGCTTTCTCCGATCCTCCTTTACATGTGTAAAAAAAATAATGATTCTGTGATGTTGGACAGGAATGAAAATAAAAATTTTTATTCTGACGAAGAACTTGAACTACTCTCCGTCGTATACTTATACTTTTCTAACAATGCCGACACCATTCTGAAATTCTCACGATTTTCCTCTTTCTCTCTCAACCTCTCTTTTATTGCTTCCTCTTTTTCTCTCTGTTTTTCCTCCCATTGCCGATTACTCTCTTCAATCATTGCAGGGATATCCTTAAACATCAGTGGTGGTGGTTCAACTCTTTTGAACAGCTTAGCAGCAATTTCCACTTTCTCCGAGCGTATGTAACTTTGAGGTATCAATCGTTGCGAACACCGCTTTATAATAAAAATGCAATCAAAAAATATTTAGATAATAAGTTAGCTTAGAAGGTTCAAAATTTATTATTAAAACTTACTGAGGATGATTCCTCTGTATCATTGTCATCATTATTCATTTCATCATCACTATCACTTTTCGTTTCACTATCATTGTTCGTTTCACTATATCACTTTTTTCGTGACCACTATAATGTTCTTTTCGTGACCACTATCAATGTTCATTTCATTATCACTAATATTACTTTTTTCATTATCACTATTTTTATTTTTTTCATTATAAATAGCATTATTTTTTCATCATCAATATCATTATTTTTTCATCATCAATATCATTATTTTTTTCATTATCAATATTATTATTTTTTTCATCATCAATATCATTATTTTTTTCATTATCATCGTTATTATTTTTTTCATTATCATTATCATTACCACCGACATTTTCGTTATTCTTTTCACTATCACTATCATTCAATTTTCTTGCAACTTCCTCTCTTAGCTTCTTTCTTCAAATTTTCCTTAAACTCCCTTAACGAGTTTTGTATTTCTTCTTTCATTTCATTCAATTCTCTTGCAACTTCCTTCGAATCTTTCTTAAATTCCCTTAACGAGTTTCGTATTTCTTTCATCTCATTCAATTCTCTTGCAACTTCCTCTCTTATTTCTTTCTTCAAATCTTCCTTAAACTCCCTTAACTAGTTTCGTATTGTTTTCATCTCCCTTGCAACCTCCTCTCTCATTTCTTCCTTCAAATCTTCCTTAAATTCCCTCAACGAGTTTCGCATTTCATTGCACAGCTCCTTTTTCGAGTCATTGAGATGGCTTAGCTCCTCTTTTGAAACATTAACAAATGAGTTTCGTAATTCATTGCCCAGCTCCTTTAGGTCATTGACAAACGAGTTTCGCAATTCATTGCCCAGCGCCTCTTTGAAGACATTGATATTTATGGATTCTTTGAGTGATTCATTATGATCCTGATCACTCCTGGAGGCTTTGTTGATAGATTTCTTTTTTTTATCTTGTGAAGCATTTCGTTGAGTGCTTATGTCAGCGATGTTAGAATTGTCACTTTTGCTAAATTTTGATGTCGACGGTTTGATTTCTGGTGTTGACACTTTAATCCGTTTCTTCTTCCTTCTGTTCAGTATCTGCTTCTTTACTTTTTCTTTTTAATCCTTGAATAGTATCCTCAGATTTTGTATTAGGTCCTGCAGTAAAACCAGAGGACTCCTCACCCGCGCTTAAGTATCCTATAAATGATAAAAGGTGAACAGAGAAAATAAGCACAAAATATCTATCATATTATTTTATCATTACTTGATTTCATTTCACAGCCTTCTTTGAACTCTGATATTTTTGAGGATTTTAAATCTTTATCCTTTCTTTTTTTACTGCTGAGTTTGCTTGAGATCTCTTTTGCAGACATAGAGCGAGGGTAGCAGATAAAAAGTAAATAAGAAGCAAGTTATGTTTGAAATAGTTTCTTTTATATTGTTTTTAACTAAATCAGCGTAAATAAATAATTATACAGATTAATAGCTATATAAATAATTAAAATAGCTAGATAAAGTCACAATATAAATAATCCATTAATAATACATGTACATGTCACTACACTAAAAACGGCATTCAACAAGCCCCAATTTCGATTTTCTTGTAAAACCGATCGTGGTGAAAAATATAGGCAGCTACGCTAATTGTTTCTTGTAAAACGATCGTTGTGAAAAATAGAATCATGCTACATTAATTTTTTCACGTTTTTATATGACATATCAATAACAATCACCTTGACACAAGCATTATTCTTATAAACATACATCATAGTATGATAGGGAGGATTGCCCAAAAAACAAATATTTAAATCGCGTTTCACTCAAAATAAAGAAAAAATTTTTCTAACTCAAACGATTTCAATAAGAAAAACAAAAATGTCTTTACAAAATACTAACTTTCAACAAGCGATGCTCGACAGTGTTAGTGGCGTAAGTTTGAGTATCCCAAGTAATAACTTCCGCGGCGGCGACATAGGTCTCGTTCGACATGTTCGTCAACATATCGATGCAGCCCCATATCAAAATAGAAATACATGTCGTAATAATAATGATATTCATCATCAAAATATTAAGGAGTGGGTAACGATACAATTTGTTAAATTATACCACTTGTTTAGTGCTCCAAGTGTTTCGACTCGAGCAGCTGCTGTTTCAAACCCCACGCAAACAGATTCTAGTAGCAACTCGACACAAACACTAACGGATAGCACCTCAACACAAACCTCGACTATTACTACTGCTACTATACTACCTAAAAAAAGCGAGGAGGATGACACGGGAAGTGAAGATGGTACAGGATCAAAAGCAAAGTCAGAATCTACTATACACAGAGTAAAGTATAGAGTTCTCGACCCTCCTAATGATGATCCCATTGGCAAGATTCGGTTTTACACAATGAGACTAAAACCATTACCTTCGCCTTCTACTTCGGAAGCTCCTGATAAAAGAAAGGGTGAAGAAACTGCCGGTGAACAAAACGTTGAAGCTTCATCGCCAATGCAATCAATTGCATTGCCCCTACAGATGCAGCAATCAACAAACGAATCATTCCAATCACAACCACAGCAATTACCAGCAAACGAATCCGGATTCAATGCTTTCAAACTGCAACCGCAACAACTACCAGCAAATGAATCTGGATCCTATGCTTTCGAACCGGAACCGCAACCACAACAACCACCAGCAAATGAATCTGGATTCTATACTTTCGAACCGCAATCACAACAACCACCAGCAAATGAATCTGGATTCTATGCTTTCGAACCGCAACCACAACAACTACCAGCAAATGAATCCGGATTCTATGCTTTTGAATCGCAACCACAACAACTACCAGAAAATGAATCCGAATTCAATGCTTTTGAATCGCAACCACAACAACTACCGGCAAATGAATCCGAATTCAATGCTTTCGAACCGCGACCACAACTACCAGCAAATGAATCTGGATTCTATGCTTTCGAATCGCAACCACAACAACTACCAGCAAATGAATCCGAATTCAATGCTTTTGAATCGCAACCACAACAACTACCGGCAAATGAATCCGAATTCAATGCTTTCGAACCGCGACCACAACTACCAGCAAATGAATCTGGATTCTATGCTTTCGAATCGCAACCACAACAACTACCAGCAAATGAATCCGAATTCAATGCTTTTGAATCGCAACCACAACAACTACCGGCAAATGAATCCGAAT